TTCCCCCTTCCACCCCACCCCCCGTCTCCCCACATCAATTCCTCCACATGTCCCGTGAACACCCTGACTCCTCTTACTATTGACTTGTCATCAACCGCGAGCGTCCCGAGGACTTGCTTCCAACGGACAAACCCGACCAAGATCCTCTTTCTGATCCCCGCATCACCACCCTCCTCTCCGAATTCAAAGATGTCTTCCCCGAGTCCTTGCCCGCCGGTCTACCTCCCGATCGCGGTGTTTCCCACACCATTGATCTCGAGCCCGGCCACCCACCCCCTTGTCGCCCCCCGTACCATCTCTCCGTCCTCGAGGTCGAAGAGATGAAGCGACAACTTAATGAACTCCTTGAGAAAGGATTCATTAATCCTAGCTCCTCCCCCTTCGAAACCAGTTGTCTCTTCGTTAAGAAGAACGACACCTCGGAACTTTGCATGTGCACAGACTACCGTTCCCTAAACCGGATCACGATCAAGAACAAGTACCCACTCCCTCGCATATCCGAGCTTCTTGATCGCCTTCGTGGAGCCAAGTATTTCACCAAGATTGATCTCCGCAGTGGCTTCCACCAGATCCGCATCCGCGAGGAGGACACCCACAAGACCGCCTTTCGCTCTCGCTTCGGGCACTACGAATTCCTCGTGATGGCCTTCGGACTCACCAATGCCCCCGCCACATTCCAATCCACCATGAATCACATTTTTCGCGACCTCCTCGAAGTCTGTGTCGTGATCTACCTTAATGATATCCTCGTCTTTAGCCCCACCTTCAAATCCCACCTCGAACACCTTCGCAAAGTTCTCTCCATCCTTCGAGAACAAAAGTTTTACGCCAAGCTCAGCAGGGGTACATTTGCTGCCCCTAGCGTAGAATACCTTGGTCATATTGTCTCGGTCGACGACATCCGCATGGACCCCAAAAAGGTCTCCACCCTCGTCGAGTTCCCACCTCACTCCACCTTGACCCAGCTTCGCTCATTCATTGGACTCGCCAACTATTATCTCCCCTTCATTCACAACTTCTCCGACGTCTCCTACCCTCTCCATGAGCTCACCCACGCCACCGAATCCTTCACATGGACTGAACGCCGCCAAGCCGCTTTCGACAAACTCAAGCAACTCGTCACCACCGCCCCCGTCCTCAAGATCGTTGACCCCACTCGCCACTTCTTCGTCACCACTGATGCCTCAGACTTCGCCATTGGGGTTGTCCTGTCCCAGCATTTCCCTCCTGCCCCCACCGAGATCCCCTCTGTCAAAGATTCCCCTACGCACTCACAGTCCCCACCCGACGAACACCCCATTGCCTTCGCTAGCAAGAAACTCCTTTCCGCGGAGATGAATTACCCCTCCAATGAGAAAAAACTCCTAGTCGTGGTCTACGCCCTCAAAGTCTGGCGCCCGTACCTCGACGGGCAATACTTCACCATCCGCACTGACAACATAGTCGTCTCCTCCATCCTTACCAAGAAAGACATCACCCCCCGCCAAGCCCGATGGCTAGACTTCCTTGCCCAGTTCACCTTCACCATCTGCCACACCCCCGACAAAAGCAACCGCGTTGCTGATGCCCTCTCCCGCCGCCCCGACCACAAGCCCCCTCAGAAAGTCTACGCTGCCATGACCCACATTCAACTTCTTCCCTCGTTGCATCGCCGCTACACCCAAGGTTACCTCTCTTCCCCAGACTTCGCTTCCATTTACTACCAACTCCGCAACCTTGACTCAGTCCCTGACTACTCTCTCCATGACAATCTACTCTACATTGACACCAAAGGCACTCGCCGACTCTGCATCCCTGACGCACGTGGTCTTCGTACCCAGCTCTTGGTCGAGCACCAAGACGCCAAGACCGCTGGGCACCTCGGTTTCCAGAAAACCTTCGACACCATCTCCCGCTACTTCAATAGGCCTTCGCTACTCGCCGACGTCAAAGCATACATCCAGTCGTGCCCCACCTGTCAGGCCGTTAATCCCTCTAACAGGGCCAAGCCCGACAAGCTCCAATCACTGCCCATCCCTACCCACCGGTGGCAGTCCATCTCCATGGACTTCGTGTGCGGCCTCCCCAAGACCGACCGTGGGCATGATTGCATCTACGTCATTGTTTGTCGTCTAACCAGACGCGCCCACTTCATTCCTTGTACCACCTCGCACAATGCCAAAGACATCGCCATACTCTTCTTCGATCATGTCGCTCGCCACCACCGTCTCCTCGAGAACATCATCAGTGACCGCGATCCCCGCTTCCTCTCACAGTTCTGGAAACACCACTTCCAAGCCTACGGAACCACGCTCAAGTATAGCAGTGCATTCCACCCCCAGACCGATGGCTAGACCGAGAAGATGAACGATACTCTCCAAAGAATTCTGCGGAAGTATTGTCATCCACACCAACATGACTGGGATCAATTGCTCACAGCCGTCGAGATTGCCTACAACAACGCTATCTGCCCCTCCATTGGCATGTCCCCTTTCTGCCTCGACCTTGGCTACCATCCCCGCTTGCCCTCTGATTTCTTGCTTCCCTCGCAGCTCAGCCTTCCCTCTCTCAATGAATGGGTAGCAACAATGAACAGACTCCTCAGAGAAGCAACCGAAGCCCTTGAAAGAACACAAGAACAACAAGCCATCAAGACTAACAAACACAGACGTGACGTGTCATTCAAAGTAGGGGACAAAGTCTGGCTTTCTGCCAAACGCTTTGAACCCGAACAAGGCTTGTCCAAGAAACTCTCGAACAAGTGGCTCGGTCCCTTCCCCATCATTGAACAAACCTCTCCCGTGAATTACAGACTTCAGCTTCCACCTGACATGCGTCGCGTCCACCTAGTCTTCCACGTAGAATACCTCAAGGAATACCACGAATCCCCGCCCCAGTTCGTTGACCGCCCTTATCCTAGACCTCCACCAATCATGCTTCCAACAGGCCCAGAATTCATAGTCGAGTCAGTCATAGGACAAAGAACAACTCAAGTATCAGATCACCCGGAACCAATCACCGAATACAAAGTAAAATGGACCGGATACCCTGATGAAGAATCAACATGGGAACCCCTTGACAATCTCAAGAATGCCATGAAACTTGTTCATGCCTATGATTGTGTCTACCCTGTATCCTAGCTATATCCTGGCATAAACCCTAAACCCTCGCTTAAAACCCTGCTACAACCTCGCAACCCTGCTCTACACACACGCTTGAACCCAGCCCACCCTCCCCTCGACCCTGATTCGTGATGTATGATCTGTCATTGCCCTCGCCTAGCCTTGTCCCATCTGTCCTCTCCACTACCTTGTCTCCCTTGTTCAATGGTTGTGGACCTGCATGACGCCGGCGATAAAGGATCTAATGGCAACCGCATGAGGACGATGGCCTGCTGCCTCACTGATCATGGAGATTATACAGCTGGTTTGGCCACCATGCTGTTTCATYGGCCGGCATCCCGACTCGCGGACTTACTGGAGCAGCAACCTGTGACATGGACCTTTGCATCAATCTGCGACTTCCTTGCTTCCATATCAGACCTTATTGCAGTTCGTGTACTGGACGCACCCTAGCACTTGGACTTTGGACACGTGAACCACTACTACGCTTCTTGGACTTCTACTTGTCGCAGCCGCTGAAAACCGCTTCTACCACCTACTCCAAGACCTGATCAAGACCGCTGCAGATCCCCTTTCAAGACACTTGGACACTTTGTTCCTACATGAGACTTTGCTTCCCACTCCTTCGGACATACCAGCCCTTACATCCTGAACAAACACTTTCATTTTTCTTGACAACCCTGTAGAACATCATTAGAAAATCCTTGTTCCCCTAACCATTGTTTCCCTTACCCACTAGAACATCAATAGAAATTCCCTGTTTCCCTGACCATGGTTCCCCTTGCCCACTAGAACATCAATAGAAATTCCCTATTTCCCTAACCATTGTTCCCCTTGCCCACTAGAACATCAATAGAAATTCCCTGTTTTCCAGGACACTGTTTCCCCTTACCGAGTAGAACATCAATAGAAATCCCCTGTTCCCTTAACATTTCTTAGCTTCCCCCTGTAGACCTACCCAATTACATCATACCTTCACCTGTCCAGAACATCTGACAAAATACCCTGTGACTTGCATCACTCCCCTTCTCCTTTTCCGACCAGTAATCGGCCCCGTCCCATCCTTCACAGTTCCTTTTTGTTTCCTTAGGTTTTTGGCAGCCGGGACGTTGCCTTTCAGAGGGAAGGGATAGTGTTACGGACTCCGCAAGGGCTCGATCCCTGGTTTACTTTTTGCTGTTTCTGCTGCATCCCGTTTTTGGTCTGGCACCCTTTTTCCAAACCCTTCCTTTGGTACCGTCAGATTTTCGACAACTGGCCCCACTTTCAAATGCCGCATTTTTCAGTTCTGCCCTCGGGGCTTTTGCAGAAATGCCCCTGGTACCGTACGTGTCACCGGTACTCATACCGGCTCCCCGTACGGTACGGGACCAGTCTCGTACCAGTTTGTGCTGTTGTACTCGTACTCAGTGTGACTTGCTGTTTCGACATTTGGAATCCAAGACTTCGACTTTGTGCCTTGCCACTGTGTCTGCGTCCGACCCTCAGTCATGTCGAGTGAGTGAGTGTGTGTGTGTGCTCTCACTCTCTCCCTTTCTCTGTCCTCTCCCTCGGCTCTCCCTCAGCCTCGCACTCATCACAGCCACCCAATTGCAAAAGAAATGAAAGCACTTGCAAAGAGATAGAGACCAGAGAAGAGAGAAAGAAGACAAAGAAGAAGAAGAAGAAGAAGAAGAAGAAGAAAAAGATGTACACCAGCAAGACCAATGACAAATCCCCCTTCTATCTCCACCTTCCTCCTCCTCCTTCACTTCGCCAATCTTATTCTTCTCCCAATAATAATAATAACAATGAGTGGATGAACCAGAATCAATATCCGAAGTTCCCTCTTTTGCTGACTCAACAACAACAACAACAACAACCGCAAGTCCACCATAGCTATGGCTTCCCTCCTTCTTCCTCCTCTCACATGCCTAGGCTATGGTGGACTACTGAGGGCCCTGCCCTCCTGTCCAAAGGACAACCCAAAGCAGCTATGGCGCTGCACTCCTATCCAAAGGACAACCCAAAGCAGCTATGCCGCTGCTGACTAAGCCACCATGCCTGACTCTGCCTCGAGCTTCCTTGGTGGCGGCACACCCCAACAGGGGCCTTCCAGATGCAGCACTCAACAAGGTGATGAAGATGGTGTCCACCATAGCCAGGTAGGTGCCTCGCCACTCTCCTCCTTCGCCCCCTTCTTCCTCCTCCTCAGGCTGGGCTGCTCGTCATAGCCAGGCTGAGCGCCCAGCCGCCCTTGACCTCCAGGCAGCGCTGTACCAGTCCAGCCCTGTGCTCCAGCAGCATGTCGCCAATCCTTGCATACCGCAAACGAGGAGGAGCTACTTGCTCCTCCGGACGATATAGCGGCCTACTGGCCTCTTGGGCGGTGACTTCTTAGGCCGAGCGGCCTCCCAGCAACCGGTACCTCCTCCCTTTCGGAGGGAAACATCATTGCAGGCTCTGCTATCGTCTGGACAGGCCCTAGACCCGGGCTACTTGGACTGGTACCGGCCTACCTCTAGCCTACCGCTACTGGGCCTCTAAAAATGCCAACTTTTTGTCTTCTTCTGCTCGGCCTCCAGTACCCGACACTCCTACCACTACTTGAGTGGTACCGGCCTACCTGCTACTTGAGTGTTTTTCCCCGCTGCTCTAAGTGTCGCTGGCCTACCCCCACTACTTGAGTGTTTTCCCCGCTGCAACCGTCAAAGTCACGGCCACAGGTAAGTACCGGCCCTGCGGGGCCTTTCAACCAACAAGTACCCTTGCGGGTCACACACGCACTCAGCCGACAAGCACTCAGACAGGCATGCAAACCAGCAGGCACGCACACACACACAGACTTGGAAACCACAGCAAAATGCGGGAATCTCAGCAAGGCATTCATTCCAGCGGCAAATCCCAGAAATCAGCAGTGTTCTCAGTCTGTGTTTTCGGCGGGTCATTACACACTTATACTTACTAGTCTGTCTCACTCCCTGTGGCATACTGCGCAGCCACACGGGCCTGCACGGCCCGACCAGCGTTCTCAGCCTAAAAGCCTGAAAACAAGGGCCTACAGGCCCTGTGTCGTTTTCAGCCTAAAAGCCTGAAAACAAGGGCCTACAGGCCCTGTGTCGTTTTCAGACTGAAAGCCTGAAAACGAGGTCCTACAAGCCCTTTGTCGTTTCAGCCTAAAACAAAGCCTTCCAGGCCCTAAGCCTTTTCAGCCTGAAACGGAGGGCCATTTTCAGGCCCTCATAAGATCGACCTGCCCTGAAACTTAGGCACCAGACCAGGGTTTTAGCACAGGCCATTTTTGGCCTGCTTTCAAGACAGCCCTTGTTTGAACTTCAACGCCAGCGTCTGGCACGTTTTGGCATTGGCAAAAGCAGCCTCCTGGATGGGCCAGCACTATATAAGAGTGGCCCGCCCTACAGGCTGCAGACAGTCACGAGGTAGTTCATAGGAACTTCCCAGGCACTTCACGTGCAGGAGGCAGGAGGCAGTCTTCAGGATTCGGCAGCAGCACTCTGAAGGAGCGCTGCAGTAGTAGTAGTAGCGTTAGCAGTAGTCTTCAGCGCTGGGCGCTACCAGGAGCTAGAGTAGTAGTGGAGAGAGAGAGATGGTTGGCGGAGGCCAGGGAGACTTACCTGTGGCGCCATAGCTCCAGCTTCGTCTTCGATGTACCTGCAACAAGGCGCCACCTTCACAGGCTAGTACCGGACTGAGAGAGAGAGAGAGAGTTCTTCTTCTTCCTCTTCTAAGTCCACCATCTCCTCCTCCCCTCTCGCTACCTAACTTCTCAGTATCTGCAGACTACGAGAGAGAGAGAGATTGGTGACTTTGGGACTTGACGACATTTGGGTCCAGACTCGACATTGGGATTCAGACA